GTACAAATGTCAGTTGTCAGTTAAAATTTTGGCCATTTGTCAGTTGTCAGTTAAATTTAAGGCCATTTGTCAGTTGTCAGTTAATTGGCTGTTAATAATTAATGAAGTAATTTAGTTATTTCTTTTTTTATCCAAAATTTAGCTCAAAAGGCACATTAAATGTAAATTGTATCACTATTATTACAAGCGGCTTTCTATCGTTACTCTCCTGCTTGCCCGAGCATAACATTCCTCTCTAACCCTTAGACCCTTAGCTCATCAAAATTCACCTTCAAAATATTTGAAGTATATCGTGAGAAAGACAAACAAATATCAGAAGAGTTCTTTCTTGTCTTGTTCGTTTGATTTGATTGGGTATTGTTTGTCAATGGCTCAATTGTGATTGGCTGGGATGAAGTGATCAGGGAATATTGCACTCGCCCAAACAGGCGCGGTGGGAAGAGAGTAACAAACAAAATATGTTTTCTCCTGTGAAACATGAAACATATCTACTATAAGCATACCTTACAAATCAAGTCGAAAATCGGCACGTATTGGCCGCCCAGGTCTTGAAATGGTAACAGGCGCAATATCTTCGTCCTCCCTATCAGAAAAGTCATCTCCTGAGTCGGGTTCATATTCATCTGGCGGGGGTCGCGCTTCAGCAACTGCCACTACAAGGAGACAGTCGTCCACAAATGTGACTTGTGGCGCATCTCCACCTTCACATGTAGCATGAACGAACAAGTCTTCTTCTTTTTCTTCTTCATCCATGGTAAAATCTATCGGTTCCTCAGTGTTAAGATCGTTCCCTAGTCCCTCCATCAAGTCCACTCTATCACAATCTTGTTCCTTCGAGTAGACTGCCGGTGGCAAAGCCCCTGCTTTGTACTTTGTAGTTTCTTCCCAGACTGTCCTTTGCCTCGCGGGACGATATTTCTCTACCAATTCTTTCATAGCAGTTTCCGTCTCGGGACTGATCCAGCTTCCACCGGTCGTCCGTTGTGATGGCGAAGTTATCACTTTTCCCGCCCGGTTTCGGTGCCATCCGATAAAGCTTTATATCGAAATCTCCAAGGCCGTATTTAATTGTAAGTTCCTTCAGACCAAGGAATTGAATAAGGTGCTTTTTGAGAGTATGTATTGTATTTAAGTCATTTATCGGAATACGGCTTCTATGTCTTTCGAATGCCGTATCCGAATTAACGCGGTAAAAGCTTACAATCGCTTTAATAACGCCAGCATTGGCACCCATCATGTAAGCTGGAGCGTGCTCGGGACTGCCCAGCGTGAGTTTGTAAGTTTGAGATCAGAGGTGAAAATTATGACCCTGATGTACATGGGTCATACAGTAAATTATTAACGAAATATGACACTCAAGCGTCCTGCTGCTAAGATTTAATATAAAACGTGCATTTGTTTGACGAAAAGAGTAAAACATTGTTATTTACAACGGGTTTTGAAGGATATTTAGGGCAATAAGATCTTTTGTCAGTTGTCAGTAAAACCCTCTACAAATGTCAGTTGTCAGTTAAATTTTAGCCTATTTGACAGTTGTCAGTTAAAATTTTGGCCATTTGTCAGTTGTCCGTTAACCCCATCCAGACCCTCTCAAACGGCCCAGGTCGCCCAGGTACTTTTCGGCTTTGGCTGACCCAGGCGGGTTTCTGCTTTGCTTAGCTTTCTCAAAGTTCTCTTACATTCTTAACTATCAATTTTGTGCGTTTCGCTGTTCGAAAAAAAAAGTTGGAAAAAATAGCTATTTCGGTGTTTCGTTTCGCTGTTTCGTGGTTTACTATATATTGTCTGTGAAAAACACAAGTCGACTAGCTAAACATTGATTAATCAGTGACATCAATCATGTCATTTACTAGTAAAATTAAACAAATTAGTCAACGATTAACAATTGAGAATTCGTAAAAATCAAAGAGTAATCAACTAATTATTCGTTGATTATCCATTGATTACTTATTGATTACACTGACACACTTCGGTTTCTTTTTCCAATTTCGGACAGCACAGACGACGGGGTAATTATATCTTAGCTGTCTCTTATGCCCGGCCTCGGATTTACGTGTCTCACTTAACCTCGTCGGCAGTTCAGGAAAAGTGAAACTAGTAGGAATAAAGAGGGAAAAAACCAGGGGATGATTTACCTGGAAACTACCGTTCAATATCAAAAATGTGCATATGGAAATTGTTAAATTTTAGACACACCATGACTTCTTTTATCTTCTTTAAACTAATTAAGTGTCTTGCTTCTTTTTCCATGTGTAACGTTTTTCTACTCAGCACCATGTCTTCTAATAACGGCAAAAGGAAAAAGGCCTTTAACAAAGGCAATAGGAGCAGATGCGATTCTAAAGGTAGGAAATCATACATCTGTTTCTCACAAAATACACAAAATACTTTTCATGTTAAGTGTTGTGTTTGTAGCTGATTTAATGGCAGATAGCAAACTGGGGAAATAGGGCAATCAGACTTTTCAGCACATAAGACCGATACATTAACTTAATAGCCCCGATTGGTTTTCAGTCACAAGAAACACTTAATTGTAATTTCAGTAACAGCCTGTGATTGAGACTTTTCTGTCCCTTTGGAATTGCAGGCTTCAACGACAAAAAGCGCCACGTTTCATGAAAAATGGGCTTTTGATGTGTTGTTTTCTGTATGTCAAAGTTCATCAACAGAATTATTCCTTGTAGCAACAATGCCTTTTCAGATCAGATTCAACAGAAAAAAAAAGTACTGCACATGACGGATGGTCAAGCAATCACCAAATTTATATACAGATCTTGATAAATATATTATATAATGTATAATCCAGTTCAAAGGGCGTCCTTTAGCATTACCACAGCAGCTTAATTTTCCAGCCTAGTGTAGTAGAAGTTTTGTAAGAGTTTAAACTGTTGTTAATAATAATTTAAGGCTATCTTTAAGGTACCAGATAACCTAACGAAAACTTACCATCCTAAAAATCGCTGAATGTTACACATTTTCGAACCAATTTTAGAGGAGCCATCGGAACAAACACAAGAGGAAGGAAAAGAAAACCCAATTTTAATCCATGGTGCCTGTGGGACCCTTACAGATGAAAAGCAAGGTAACAGACATTACGGGCAAATTAGCAAAAGGTTGTGTGGGTTTTATGAATGGAATTACAAAGGTTTTTCAGAAAGAACATTAACAGGGCAATGAAAAGATAGAGAAAGTAGAGAGACCGACGATGAAGACAAAATGTTAAACCTCTATCACGGTAGCCGGCTGCGAGGAAGGTCTTTCGTTGCTCGCAGGCTATAGGTACTATCAGTTAGGAAAAACTGAACATTAACTGCAAATAAAAAACAAACGAATATGCCGTATGGCGTAGGATCAACAGGAGATATAATCAGCGAAAATATATACCAAGTAAACATAATTCTGCAAAGCTGATCGGACTACGCAAAAATTAACTTTGCAAAACATGTACGCGACACCGATACACATCGGCCGAGACCCCGATCTGTTTTAATTCTATTGGTGTCGTGTTTAAATCTTGAAAAGTGAATTTTTACGTATTACGTACAGCTGTTCAGATTTCGTCTCATCATTATTTTTTGCATCTTTACTAAACATAGTTTAAAGCTTCCACAGAGCTTCCTATTAATTGTTCTAGTCCCTCTCAGGAGACCTTCCGCGGCATCTGCGGTTTCTTAACGCCACCTCGCCCAACCTCTAATTTCTCGTAAATATTATGTTTATTCGTTTCCGTTATGGCGAAATAAATAAATGTAAATGAAAAAATCTAGCCTTAAATATCAATCAAAAGAAATGATTTATCTCAAGAGACATCTCTTGTTTACCTTATAATCAAGCCCCTGGATATCTGTGAGAGTCAGACTTAAGGCATTTAGCATCCGGTAACTTTACTTAACCTGGAAAATTCATGTTTCCTTGTTAAAACACAGTAAGCATAATTGTTTGATTTGTGTTCTATTTCAGATGACGGTCACAAACAAGATGGTAAAAGGAACCACTGGAGAAAGAAAGAGGAAGGCAAAAAATTGAAAACTAAAGCGCAAGGAGACACTAGTCCAGGTGATTATGAAAATGCCTACCCGTAAATGCCGTTCAGATAAGTCATCGTTTTACGTTTCTAAGGACATATCCATCATCATCATCATCATATCCTTTACTGAAACACGATAGGATTTAAAGTTCAATGCTTGTGGTGTCGTGTAAAAATAATTACAATATAGAACTATAATAAAAATAAGGCTAACATTACTTACAATATACAACTACAATAAAAACACTAAAAAGATACAATATGTGAAAAAATTAAAATGAAATTTACATTAGTTACCTATAAGTAATTGACTACAGCATTGAAAACATAAAATAGTCAAAAACATTTAAAATCGTGGTAGTGCCTAGGCAGCGACTGGACTGACTGTGCACTTAGTTCAAGTCCTTCAGTCTGCACTTTACGATACCGTGCAAGGTTTATTTGTCAAGTATGATAGAGCCGCAGGTGCTTCACCAATAAACACGCTATGGAGTAGTTTGCTTAATCGAAGTTTGTAATAGAAGAAAAAAGTATTCCATTTCCAATGTTGGTATACTTCATCAGTAGGCATGTCGCGGGGCAAGTTGTATATTTTTTACGCTGGCTGCCCTACGGCGAAGTATTTCCAGGGAATTTAGTAGGTCCACATAAGGGCAGCCGCCCCAAACGACCAGTCCATATTGCACTGATGACAAGATTATCTTGATTACAAGTCCAATGGGGCAGTTCTGCTCAAGAACGAACTCCTTTTTAAAGGTTCACTTTGTTAAAAAAATTGTTTTCTACATCTGTAAGGTAATGTGACCAGGAACGCCAGTCGATCCTATCCTCTCCAATAGTCACAGAATTTGGCGGCCTGATGTGTGGTCTTCTCATCAATAGCATAGCTTCGCGCTTTGCCGAGTGAGGAGTTAAAGAGTTCTCTAGGCACCAACTGTTCAGTTCCAATAAAGCTTTATTTGAAGATGTGACA